TTTAAAGCTGGAAAGTCATCATTTGACTTAAAGTCAAAACAAAAAAGAATTAGTTTTAAAACTAATAAATCAGTTTACATACAAATATATTATAGATAAGATATCCATACAAATATATTAATTCCTAGCAGCTTAACATAATTATATTTCTCTCTCTAAAGTAATTGGGCTTTAAATCTACCATCTTTAAGTTCTAGTTCTACATCGCACTGCTTTAAAGTCGTTTACGATCACTCTAAGCAGGTATACATTGTATACATTTTTAATAGACAGCTATGAGATACAAGGGAATCCGGGAACCAGTCCCTAGCTCTTATTGAATAGCCACCTTGGTTCTTTTACATGCCCAGTGTATAGCACTGATACATGTGAGGATTACCTGGATTTCTTACCAGTACACCTCTAGGTAGGTGGGAAACACTGAAAGTGTCTCTGAAAAATCCCAAGGTTATAACCCAGGATTAAACCCGGGACCTCAGGAGTCATAATTGGTGGTCTAACCAACTGAGCTATCGCGCCACCACAATAGCATAGTTAATAGTAAGAAGTGCATATAAGTAATTTGTAAACAGCTACACATATTTCTTTTATCTGTCTTTCTCAGTTCTAAAGCAGTCATTTTAATTGTTTCATCAATAAATATTAAATTTTAAAGTATTTATGTCTCAAGTATATGCTGATATTAGAGAGACCAGATAAAACAAGATCAGCTATATTTATTCTTTATTAAGTTATCATGGAATTGATGACATCATAACAAACATGTCAGACATAGTTTATGATACAAACTTAAAATAAATCGCTGGTGTGCATTCACCACAGACAGCTGTCATTAAATACATTTTTTATTGAGATAACTGATCAGTAACATTTAATATAAATTGTAATGATTTTATGAAGAATTGAAAAATGATTTCTGATTTCAACGGTTTTTATCGATTCAAACTAGCAAGTGTTGCAGATAAATGGCAGTTAAAAATTTAGCATAACCACTGTTAACGGTTGACAGCAGGGCTCCAGATAAGATGCGTATACGCGTTAATTACGCATGGAAATAACCAGTTTACGCATTCAAAACAAAATTTAAGCGTATGAAAACGCACACAAAATTCAGGTTACGCATTGAGCAACATTTCTTTCGCGTAAACGTAACCGAAAGTAAACTCGGTGATTATTTTATTTTCAATTTCGCCTGAACGCTTTGCAAGCGTCTACCGGTAACTTCCTGTATTTCCGACCATCATCGGTTGTTATCGTATGCATAGTATGGTGGTGGAATTAACTTCGTATGAATGCTTTGCAACGTCTAACGGTAACTTCCTGTAGTTCCGACTATCATCGGTTGTTAGCGTATGTATAGTAAGGTGGTGGAATTAACCGGTACAATGTCGCTGTCTAAAGTTAAAACGATTGACTCGTATTTTCAGCCGAAAAAAAATCGACCCAAAAGTAATTGTGACGGTTATAATTAATGAAATAATTAGCGCTGCCACATATGAGCAACAGAAACATGCCTCAGGTTCAGATAAAATGTATGCCGTTTGGAAATGAAAGATTATAAACCAAGAGAGTCCAAAAAGCAAAAGAAATGACTTTGGCATATCTTGTATTACATGTATAATAATACAATAAACATGGAAGCATAATAAATCTTTTACTCTTTTACATACATTTTAAGGAGTAAAAATACTCCTGTCAAATTTCAGATTTCAAGTTTTACTCATTCACAAAAAAATCAATGAGTAAATACTCATTGCCCTAAAAAATTATCTGGAGCCCTGTTGACAGTGAGAAAATATGATTAAACTATCCTTCCAGACTAGTTGAAGTTATACTGCCCGAAAATGTTTTTCGCAATTCCGTGTGAAAGAATCACTGGGTCGAAGCAACATGAGTACGAATATTCGTACTGTATAGTTTATCCTTCGTTTTGCTACAAATATAGCTATAACAGCGACAATAAACCTATGTAATATATATTGCCATAAATCTTGGTGAAACAGTCTTACCGTTTGTTTTTTAATGTGACTATTATTTAATCATACAAATTTTTACTATTCTTTCCATAAATTTCTTCAAGGGAGATAATAATGGAAAATTGACTGGTACTTAACTTACAAAAACTTTTCAGACCAATCAGATTGAAACACCACAAAGTGGTATTGAATCCAGTCATATCTTTATTTTATTTTATGTTATGGGTGCAATATAATTGTACGGAAGAGCATTAGTGCCAGGTGTATGTTTTTTATTAACTCGAAATTTCGAGTTACTAACTCGAAATTTCTACTTACTAACTCGAAATTTCGACTTACTTATCTCGAAATTTCGAGTTACTAACTCGTAATTTCGAGTTACTAACTCGAAATTTCGACTTACTAACTCGAAATTTCGACTTATTAACTCGAAATTTCGACTTACATTGCACGACTTTCATTGGTTGCCGGTGAAAGCAAGGATTTAATTCAAGATACTTTCTTTCGTGTGTAGCTGTTGCACATTGACAGAGCACCTTTAACATTTATTTAACAGAACAATTTTATAGGGTCAAATTGTCCACACATACTGAACATATCCTTCGCTTTTTTGTGGAGGGGGGGGGGTGTAAAATCACACTTTCCACATTTCTGTGTTAACCGGGTGTTTCTTTTTCTTAAGCACACATACAACCATCATGTGGAGAAACAACAAGTCCAAAACCCACTCTATTGTAAACTGTTCAATATCATGTGTTAAATAAGTTTTATAAGTATAGGCCAGTTAGTCTGTCACGTTTCTTTATACTAATAATGTTTTTGTAACATTATTCATTATTTACTAATACTTTGATATTGTGTTGATAAAAGTTGATAAAAGTGATACTTGTTGTTATATATATGTTGGGAATAATATAAAAGCATCCGATTTTACAAGAAATATAGTCAGTCCAACAATTTTGACAAAGGCCTCAGCACGCCCTATTTTGGCCACGCCGCGATACTTTCCTCAGATGTCCCACAAGTGAAGTATAGGATCGGTTTTTTACAGGGATGAGAAGAATATGATTAGTGAAAAGATATGTTCGAACAGATGGGATACAATACAACGTCTGAAGAACGCCTGAACGTACAAATTAAAGGAAGCCTTGTTGTTATATATGTATACCGACAATAAATAAATTTTGATTTGATTTGATTTATGTACAGAATAGCTTGAGCTCTTTGGCGTACAGTTTTTACACCGTGACAGAACAGCAACAAATGAAAGAAAAATGTGTTAAAAAGCGGCATATAAAGTTTTGCAAGTCTATGTATTATCATATTTTAGCACTTTCAACGCTATAATTTTTTCTAAATATTATGTCTTATTTAAAAAAAAAACTGCACAGTTGAGGGTTTTTTTACATGACGAGACTGGATTTTTTACATGGAGATACTTATCTCAGAGACGAAAATATTGCCTGCTCTGATGTAATTCTTTACCCAAAACATGTGTGCCTGGGTGTGCCTGTCAATAATTTGGGTGCAAAATTTATGATTGTTGTTTCAGAACGATATATTTATAACTAAAACGTATGTTCCAAATATATCCCACTAGAGTCTTTCAAACAATACATTGGTTTAACAAAACATGTTTGTTGCAGAAGCTTAACAAATTATTTTCAAACAAATTGTAATGTATTTAAAAGAAAGTTGTAATTTTACTGTAAATAAAATTATATGCAGTCATAAATAAACATTTTAAAATTATTGCGCATGTAAGCATACTTGAAGTGTACTGACATTCTTTGGAACCGGGATAAGCCTTTTCCCCGTTTTAAGCGAAATGTTTTAGAAAAAAAAACATGTCTCAATATAAACAGACTTCGAATATTGTAACACCTGCATATATATGTAGCGCTTTAACAGTGCATTTGTGTTATTGACATACTCTATATGCAGCAAAACAACGGAATTATTCGCGGCATACCCTTTACAAGTATAAAAGTATATTTTAAACTAACACATAAAAGTGTATCAGCGGACATTGCAATATTAACCTATACGAGGTACACTTTATAATAATCTAAATTATCTGTTTAATATATTTTTTAAAATGTTTAGTTTCTATAAATGAGCATTCTCTTACACATTTTACTGCGATAAAGTTTAAAAAAATATATATCTGGTGGAAGCGATAACAACTAATGAATAATGATTGCAACCATGCACTATGCCGGATATGAAATACATGTACATGTATGTAGGCGCCAGTTATTTGATGAGGGTCACTGTGGCATTAACCAATGACTTAGCTTGTAATCAATAGCGTCACATACCGGCTATAACCAACATACCCTCCAATTCTAGTTTCTTATACTATGATAAAGTGTTTTCAGTTATTGATTTCGCAAAACTTTTTGTGATAAAAGTCACAGCGACATTGACCTGTGATCTCAAAATCCATAGGGATCATCTATTGGTCCAATCTCCTCACCAAACGAGATGACAGAGGGCCTAAGTGCTTAGTGAACGTAGTAAAACAAACTCTATGCTTGCCTACGGACTGACTGATAGACCGACATATGTCAATTAAATCAGTGAATATTTAGTTAATTGACATCTAATAAAAGTTCATTGATTAAAAGATATTTTTATTATTTCCAACCTAGCGAGATTACTTGATCGATCCATGGCGGGTAACAAAGTAATTTACATAAGAAATGTAACAGGACATTTCTTTTAGCAAAGTTATAAAGGCCCGTAGATCTTCATTATCATATACGTATATAAACATGATAAAGCTTTATCCTGCTGTACCACCAGTATAGACCCAGGATAGCCTGTACACCCGGGCAGTGTTACCATGTTTGTAGGTCATTTATTGTATTTCGATACAAAACATTATTTGAACATCAAATTGACAGTTCCAAGTTAAAAACAAGTTAAATTTACAGGTAATGGATTGAAAACGTTTCTTATTTGTTACATAATCTAAAGAAAATTTGTAATTTGAATTTTCACAATAATTAGCGGTAAAAAAAAGAGTCATACAAATATTTAATGCTACATTACAACATCACATCACAAAGCAAAACTAAGTATCAAAAATATATGTCCATATTAAGCAGCATGTAAAAATAAGTAATTTAGCACATTATTGTACACAAATTAGAATAAGTCTTATACCTTCTTATGAAGATCAATTGCTAGTATTACATGTGTTTTTTTTATCGTATTTATCATATTTATCCAAGTAACAAAACTAGTATCATAATTATGAAATGGAGGAGATCTACATGTCGTCTCACTTTCATTCTTTATGGCGATGGTATCTATATATTTTAGCTGATTCCTTCCGAATATCTAAAACCCCCGAGATAACTCTGTTACTCTTGCAACGGCACCTGGAGCCAATTCTGGTGCACTGTTTCCCTTTTGGACATAATCTTGACCGACAACAATTCATTCTTGACCGTCCGTCGATTTCTGATACCAGGTACATCATTATGAGGGTGATCAGTAAAATAGTTGAAGTTTTAGTACTCGTCATCAGGAATATCTGTTCATAGGAAAACATATGATTTTCAGATGTTTTAATGTTTGAACAACTAGATTATTATTTCGACGAAAATAAACCCAGCCAGTTATTTTACTATGACGCAAATCAAACCAAACTGTTATTTTTGCATGCATTTTATTTTTACATTTAATAAAAACAAAAAAATGGATATTTAAAAAAAGATTAGAAAAGTAAGGCACGTTAATTGCTGATACAATATCAACTATACAATCAACTATAAAATCACGTCTTTTTTACAAGAACAAAAATTAATCATCAAATAATTTGCAAGCAAATTTCGTAGGATTGTTTTCGAGTTTTTAAACAATGTAAAATCGTCCGACAACATTACTCTATCCCTTTAAAGCTATTCAAAATCATTTTTTTTAAAGTAAAATAATAATAATAATAATAATAATAATAATATAACATTGTCAAATATCAATAAATTCCACTATATATGTACAAGGATTTACCTGGTAAAAAAATTTCCTTTGAGTGAATTCCCAGCCGACACAATGTTCTTTACGTGGTGATTCGTCGAAATCAAATAAAAAATACAGAAAGAAATAAGTGGAGCTCCGTTAATAAATGAACGTTATCGCAAAAAGAAACAAACACTAAAAGCTAGTTAGTTTCGCAAAAACTAGAAAGGTTTACTATCGTTTGATGATAGGTACATGTACTAATGTTTGCGGGACAACGTTTGATATACACATATATGTGTTCTGCTTCGTGAACATGCATAAAATAACATTTATCGTACTTGAAAAACATTGTAGAATAATTTAAATTTATTACGAGAATTCACACCTCTTAACAGGATATAAAACAAGAAACATCATTTTTTTACACAATAAAATTTCTTTTCGACCAATAGCATTAATTCTTTTACACTACATGTATGACATTCCTTTTCGACCAGGAGTATAACAGTTTCTCCATTAAATTCTTTTTTTCGAATGAAAGCCGGCTTTGAGATAAATCAACAAGATTATCATTTAACAGCAAAGACAAAACAAGATAAATGGTAATGTCACGTGGTGAATTGCTTGAGCCGGAGTGGTCTCTTATAAACTAATGCTGACGATGTATAATGTAAATTGCACGAGCTTTTAACAAAAAAGGACTGGATAACAATCAAGAAAATAGAGATTCTTTGCCCATGCTAAGAAGGAAATTTATTCTGCATGACCAAAAGCAGACAGAAGGCTATAAACAGTGTTTATTGAAAGTAGAAATAGTGTTGTTGCCAAAAGAATGAATGTAATCATCTTCTTATCTTATCTTTGTAGATACCAAAGGTCAAACTCAATTATGTTGAGATAAAACTATCTAAATAGAACTGGTCAATCTTTGACTATAATTAAAATAGGAAGAAATGTTTTCGATTTTATGTGTATTATCAGCAGTTGTTGCAGCGTGTTTAGCTAACACGAGCCCACCACAGCCGGTAACTGTGGCACCAGGATGCGTAGTCAATGGAGTAACATACAAGGCAGGAGAGAGATTTCAGAAATCACCATGTAGTCCTTGCTACTGTTCTGCCGACGGTCACATCAATTGCGCAATTGTAGATTGCTTCTTCACACCATGCGTTGATGCTATCCATGATCCAACAAAATGTTGCCCAGTCTGTCCGAATGGTAGGTCAATATTTTCATGATGTAGTTATTGCAATACTGATGAAGAAGCCGAATATCATTTTTAATTTTTATTCTATTTTCATTGAGTTTTTAAATAAAATTAAAACATAATCTAATGTTAACAAATATATTTATAATCAACAAATATTGTAAGTAGCAAAAACAAAGTCTAAAATAAACTTAATACTGTTAAAAGTTGCCCCGGTGCTAGGGGACGTGAGAAATGTTGCACTTTTTCATTATCTCTCAGGTTCATACTCAGTCAAACTGAGTCTGCAATTTTCATGTAATTTTGTTGTGATTTTTTTAATGCTCCCGTGTTTCACCCTTCTTCAAGATTTTTCAAGTCTGTATTTTTTTAAAAATATTTATATAGATAAAAGCCTGGAAACAAAGTGATCCCTCGGAAGTATTTATCACAACAAAATTACATGAAAATTGCACACTCGGTTTGATTGAGTCTGTACATGAGAGATAATGTATGAGTGCAACATCCCTCACGCCCCCTAGCACCGGCTGAGTGTTACTCAATTCTCAACACTTAAGAGTGCTGGCATCAATGATCCCAAAGGACCAGAAAAAATATAACAACACTGAAGTGAAGTACGAATATTCATATGAAATACATGTACATGAACGTTCACATGAATATTCATGTGAAATACATGAAAAGATACCATGTTGAAAATTTACATTACCTCGATTTAAATTTGCTTGATACTATATATTTATCGCATGACCGCCACAACTTTCCTTTGAAGGTCGGCGTTCTCTAAATTTCAGTATTGGAAAACTTTGGGGTGCTCTAAATGAGGTATCAGTACGCTTTGGGGTGCTCTAAATGAGGTATCGGTACACTTTCTCGCGCGTGCCCAGTTTATAATTTTATTTCAAATAATAAAGTGATCATACCTGAAAAAGAGCAAAATAAAACATTACACAGTTTACAGACTTTTTTAAAAATATTTATATATCATCTCGATCTTTTTTTCTTCAAAATATGAAAATGCAGTTATTATAAAGATGTTGACTCCAGTGGAAAGTAATCGCCATTTTCTGTATCCTGACCTCGAGGACAAATCTGAAACTGAAACAATGATCAAATCATTCTTCTTTTTTTTTACTTTAAACAACGCCTTCGTTTTACAGGAGATTCTGACCAGTAAGCCATTCAGTAAATCACTACACGTATATGAACATAATATTCTAGCGTCATTATTAATAGATGGAAGTAGTGTTAAAGGCACATTATGCGTCAGAAATGCTATCCTTTTTATTTCTCAAAAGTTTAAATATTTGGTGTCTTGTTACGATTTCCACAAAAAAATACTTATTTACCGGTACCATATAAATGAACTATCTTTGCATCTTTTGCTTTGCTGGCAATCGGTATAATTATAATGAATTAGTATTTTGTATGGAAGTCAAAATACTATTTGTTTACATTTTGCTACCTTTACGACACATTACTGCACATTCAGCACTTCTTTCTTCAGCTGTTAAATATCTTACATGTTCTTAATCCATTATTAAAACGTTATTAAACATGTGCTTTACATTTCTAAAGAATTTAATAAAAAAGGATTTCTGAGGCATAATGTGCCTTTAAGTAAAAATCACTACATTGTCGTTAATTTTAAAAAATACGCGTACAAGATACACCTCTGAAATATACACCGGGATACTTATCGACAATATTTCCTAGATTATATTTTGAAAATGAGCTGGAAAGATGATTATTATTTCGCATTTAGAAAAAATGCATCAACTTACCTCGTGAAATGGTTATTTATGTCCAGTTCCTTCAACGGTATCTAATGGGTGTATTTCTGTGGGTATTTCTTAAAATATTTATATGTTTAAATAAGTCAAATATTACGAGAGAAGAAAAAAGTCGTGATGGTCATGCGATAAAACAGTTACAGAATAAATACTCGGACTTAACCGGCTGGTATCAGCGAATGGGGCGACAAAAGGGTCAATCCTAGAAATTAATCGCGACGTTCCGTCTCGATTAATTTCCTATGATTTACCCTTGTTGTCGCCCCATGCGCTGATACCAGCCGGTAAAGTCCTCGTATATATTCTATAACTATTACATATATACACCCCTACATTAACACCTCTTCCGCTAATTTGCACCTTGCTTTGTATACAGTTTATCCTTCTACGCCGATTGGGCATAATGTGTTGGTTGCGTTTGCTCAAATTGACGTTGAATACCGCTTGATATGGTCACACTGGTTTACCACTTGTATTACTAGAAAATCAGTACTTATTGTCTTTTGTATATAATTCATAGCGGGAAAATAAAATTTTGAATTTGAAGCATGAACTTTTATCAACAATGTATTGCATACTTTTCAGGTGAGAATTGCAAACACAAAGATGGAACAATTATAAAGAAAGGAGAGGTTTATAATCCAGATGCCCATACAAGCTGCAAGTGTCCTACCTCGTTCCATTTCGGTCCATCATTAGCTGTATGTGCTGTTGACACCATAAATGTTGGATAATTTGATATCGATTGTAACTGAAGTTTTGACGAGATTTGAAATTAAAATTTTTGCAACTTTAACGAGGTTGCTTTTTTCCCTCATCTTTAACTCAATTTGACTAAATTAAATTACATAAATTGTACGATATCAAATACTTATTGATATTCTGTACCGTGTATGTACTCTTACAGTTTTTCTTATCCTATCAGAGTGGCCATATTCAGTTCAAATTTAAAAGTACATCCCATAAAATAATCTGTATGAAAAAGTAAGTGACTTATTTTCTCTGATACGAACAGCGCAAGAGACGTGGTATGTGGGCGGAGTTATTCAAAATAGCTCGAATAACAAACGGAAATTATAAACTGAAAACACAACGAGAAAAAATTGTAAAAAAAATATATAAAACTGCATGTAATTTAGCAACGAAAAAACAAAACGTTTTTTTTTTATTTTGAAAGAAAGATATCAAATAAAATGGAACTACGACTATTGAGTTAGATTTCAATAATAATTCTTCTCCGCAATGTGTCTGCAGAACTAATTTTTCACGCGAGATGGCAACATCATGGAAAGAGTGTTTGATCTTTCTTTACTTTTATCAGAAATAACATTTTCATTACAAGAAGTTTCATTGTTTTCATATTTCTTTTCCGTTTTCGCTTCGCACATATTTGTTTCTGGAACAAGTGATGTTTATGCTTAAAATTTCTCTGGTAATTTTGCCTGGAGCTCTGAAGAAGCGACCGGCTGTAAATCAATTTGCTCTCTCTGATATCTATGTACGGCTGATGAAACATGTTTTGATCTATTCATAACTGTTCATCTGCATATCGTTTGTTAAAGAAAGTGCTGTATAATGTAACTGGTCCAGAATGATTGCTATTATTTCTGCTACTAGTTGCAATATCAGCTTGTGCAAAGAGGTCTTTCATCATCGATTTAATGTCTTTTTGAGGTATATTCCCTTCACTGAATTTAAAACCATCTAGCGATTTCAGATAAAAGGAACCAGTATACGGAATCAAATTTAGGTACGTTTCATAGTCTATACATGTATATGCTAATTGCTCCCCCTACCTGTCATAATGTACAATTAGTTGCATAATTCCCGTAGTTTTTTTGGCTACTTGCGCATCTTTACTAATCCTCGGTATAAATTTCACAAACCCGTGTTTGTTAGCAGAATCATAACCTTAAACAAATTGCTCAGCTAAAAGTTCGTCTGTTCTTACCCACCTCTTAGACCGGAAACCCTTCCGAAAACCGCATTACTAAGTCCTTTTGATGTTGAAAACGACCACTCTCCCACAAATTACATTCATCTTCTGTCGTAACCGCATTTTTAGTTTCCAAACCTATGCCCTCATTGGATAGATGCCTCATGTGTGAATCTAATGTTTTCCAAAACTCTGCAAATGTCAGGTCATCACTTTTGAAAAAGTTTACATGTACCGACTTCTCGTTACGAAGATAACGCTGCATGGTTCTCCATTTTTATGCCGATTTTCGTCAATAATCCTTTGCAGCCAAAAGTCCATCTTCATAAAATAATAAAACTTATCAATTTCAACTGGCTTCATCGCAGTTTTGGCTTGCATGCTGCGATTTTCACCCATTCTCGCCATAAGCTAATCGCCAAAGAAATATTTCTTGTAGTGTTCTCAGGTACAGCATTTTAATGACAGTTCTTGACAGAGGCTTCTCAATCGCCGTGGAAAAGAAATTTAACGTATGATAGTAGTATATCTATTACGGTACTCAAAAATAAAAATTCTTCCATTTAAAAGGTCTTCATTGCACATTTTTACATACTTAAATTGTTATTGTTCGAACTAATGGTGGTCATTTCTACCAAATTTGGGCATGTAAGACTTGACAAAACCTTGAAACAAATAAACAGTTTTTGTTTTATTATCTATATTAAGACTAACTAGCAACTCTCTTGAAACAAACTGTAGCTAATGCATAATTTTCAGAAGTAAATGTTTGATGATTTTGCTTAAGAAATATACAAAGGTAACAAGATTTGTCATTACCACAACGATCTGAAAACGCCTTTATTTTTTTAATTGCAATATAATTATTTCGTTTCAAACAACGATTAAGTGCAAAACACATGAAAAGAAATAGCTTTTGATAAATATACCAAAAATAAAATGTCTAAAAATCTTTTTTTTATAAACTTTGAAAATATCAATACAAAATCTTTTATAATCAGTGTGGTAATGTTATAATATTTAAAAGATCGGTCTCTGTTTGTTTCTACTATTTCAGTAAATGGATAAGTTATACAACACCAGTGAAATATACCTTCATCATATGTACCATTTATACGACTAAAATATATTAAAAAGAGGGAATAATGCATGTTGCGGTAATGATTTGGCGTTATGGAAATGACAGGTCTGTTACGGTAATGACTAAAGTAAAGACAACTTTGTTTTCAGCTTTGCATTTTATTTTTATAACATCACAACTGTGAGAAAAGTGAATAAAATTTTAAAAGAAATTATTTTAGTTATTTTATTTTTTTCATTTTTTATTTCATTTGATTCAACAATTACTATTCCTACCATACCATTTTACTATTTTAATTCACATCAACGTCATGTACCAATAATTATGACGTTGTTATATATTGTAGAGACCCAGCCGAGTCTTATAAATAGAATAAGTATCGTTCTCAACAATATAAGGATTTTATATGTTGTTTTCTTTTCACTTTGAAAATTATAATGAAGCTGTATGGGGAACGTTCTGCATTTGCTATCAGCAGATTTCGAACTCCGGAACTGAAAACGAAGCTGTATTGATAATATTGCGGTTCTACATGAATCGGTGGAAACGCCGAAAGTTTACCAATTATATTTCATTGCATGTGAAATAAACACTTTTATGGTAGTCAATAGTCATGGATTGTTCAACATTTCATTATTATAAATATTGTCATACTATCATAAATTTCAATAGCAAGCCACAAAATACTATTCAATGTCCATTTCTTCTGTAATGGCATCCCATACAACTTGGTCAATTTGACAATGTCTCTTTGTAACATTTTGTGGCTCACCGTCAAGCAATGTTACAACTTGATTTTTCTGGTACCAGAGTCTGTCTTCAAGTAATGGCCAGAAAAATCTGTTGACCCCTATGCGGTTCATAACCTTTACTTCCAATTCATTATCATCTACATCTAAGATGACGCCTGGATAAGGCAAGCGGTCATACTCAACAACGCAGTATCTTCCAATTAAAGATTCATCAACCTCTAATACTTTAACAAGAACTGTGTCCTAAAATATAGTATTTTAAATTTGAGTACAGAAATCAACTCCAATTTCAATTTTAAAAATGCATTGTTTGATTTTAAAACATACTGAGTATACAACGTTGATCCTAAAATGTATGAAATTCAAAATGACATTCATTATTTGATAAAATCTGAATACTATTATTGACAATTTCTACTTTATAAGAAGCAAAGAATGTTTAGCATTAAATATCACGGTACTTTTACTAATTTGCGTAATCTATGCTAATATTTAAGGATCGTATTGTGCGTTTTATTAAACTCAAGTCATGTAATGTAAACTTCAGAAACGTACATTTGTAACCATTGTAGATGACGTGTCACCATGTTCATCCATCATAATATTGTGTGTGTTTGCCTATAAATAAAATTCAGATGCTAAACAAGTTTGACCATGGGGAGTGGGCACTTTCTCCTATACTTTGCAACAATTTATAGATAGATCTAGGTATTCTTCAAGCTGTGTGCAATATTTTGAAAAGCAAATTATCATCTTATGATATCCACAGCTCTTTGCTGGTTAATTCAAACATATTTCAGGAACTTAAATAAATGTTCTTTTAACACTTGAAAGAATAAAAAATGTTGGTGCCATCTCACTATGTATACATATTTACCTGCAGACTCTCTTTTTCTCCGTGTTTGACAAAGCAAGTCTTGACTGGATTATAGCAATCACACTGACAGTTCCAACGGCAAAAGCAGCTCAGGGGACGGGAGAAGATAGTGTTTGGCTCTGTCACAACAATCTTATAAAAACAAAGTATACAGTGAAATTTTAAAATCTTGAAAATTAATAATAAAGAGTTGATACAGCTTTTAGTAATTTAATCATCTGCATAAACAAAGGCACCTTTTAAGTTAAAAACACAAACTTTTTCAAGAAATGTTTATGCACGAAAAAACAGATTCATTAGCGCTATTTCTGCATAAAATGATACATCTGATTAGGGATTTTGCGATTGTCGTTAGAGTATCCCAAAAATACATCTTTTTCGTCCTGCATTCTGGTTGTGAGATGATATGATTTGGAAGTTTTTTTTTATTTTGATGTAAAAAGTATTTGGTTGTCATCATGTACTACTGCAGTAAGCTTGTTACTTGGCACCTTGACCAAGCAAATTTTAAAAAGACATGCGATAATAATAGCTCGTGTTCATTTCGTATAATCCACCAATGTATGATTTCTCCTCTATGTACCAATGTATGCTTAGTTTTATACAAAATATTGTTTGAAAACATATACATTGTAATTAATGAACGTCGGTCACACAACTTAGTTTTAGTTATACAATGTACATGTCGTTAAAATATCATAACATTGAATTTTTTTTTACTAAAATGATTTCATTTTAGATCAAGGTTAGTGCAATTAAAATAAATTACCTGATGTATTTTCATCGTTTCAGGAACAGTTGGAATATTGGCATCAATATATTCATTGAATGAATCAATGTCCGCCTGTGTTACTTCATACAGGTCAATCTTTGTGCCCAGCTTTGTCAACCCTTCTAACAGCTCAGCGGCCTTTGTTACATCTTGCTTGTCATGTAATACAAGAGAGTCAGCTAATCGTTTAACACATGAACCAATGCCATCGGGAGCACCTTTGCCGTGCCCGGCCTCCCAGAAATTCCACGTTGCTGACTTAAAACCAAGTTCAAAAATTAGTTTTGAAAGCATGTAAAAATTGTTCTTTGACCTATACTGAGTTGTAGGTCCATCAGACACAAAATGGACCCTTTCAATATTTTTCTGTTGAACAATTTTATTTAGGACAGGCTTCATATGAGCCCAAATGGCTGCTGGCCCATGAAACATGCTGTCTGATAAAGTTGTGAATGACTGACTACTGTCCTTATAGTATACCATACCAGTGTGAAGGGTGATTTGCCTCTGGGAGGCACCAAAGTGCATACCCTGTATTTCTGATGTACATTTACACGAGTAATTTTCTGAAAAGTCTATATGTACTATTACATCTTTGTCTCCAAGTGTTTCTCTAAGTTTCCTAATTGATCTATATTGATGTCTGATGTTGTATACGTGTCTCCCAACTCGTTTCAAATCATTTTGCATGTCAAAAGTAAGGTTTTCAAGAGTTCCATATTCTTTTTGTTTCATCGTTTTCACAATTTTTCTTATTTCTACGGTGCCATTTTTCGTTTCTCTTTTCTTTTTCAAATCGTACATTTTTCCAGCTGTACCAAAAAACTTGTCTGCCATCGGCATTTTTAAATGACAAACTTTTGGTACGACAGTTTGCACATTCTCTGTACATACATGCTTTGCTTTCTATACTACAAGTTATCTCTTTCAATAGGGCATCAATATTGTTTGTTTCTATGGCCTTTTCTTGGAAAATTTTGTTAATCTTAAATTGTATGTTTTCGTGATGTTTGCAAAGACATGTTTCTCTGTGTTTCTCTGTTGGTTTGATGACATAGAAGGGTTTAAGTTTACAAAAAAAGACTGTATGATATTTTACTTGTGTGCTCACTCAAGAACTTTTCATGTAAGTTTTTCATACTGTCATTTAATAGGCGAATCTGTTTTTTTATTTCCGTGTCGTGTTACTGTGAACTTCTTACCCCCCATGATACGTGAGTTGTCATCACGTTGGATAAAGTCTACAACTAATGTTTTTATCAATGACCATCGTTTTTCTTTGGTTTGCCTTTTTGTATTCTGGGTCACTTTCATAGATAATACTTTTTGAGCATATTTTCCTAGCTTGTATTTTTTCAGTATTTTGTCTCTACATACTATTTCTCTGATTACTTTTTTGTCCTTCTTGTTTACTTGATCCTTCATTTCTTTTATATTTCGGATCATTATCAAATGAAGTGTTAAAGCCTTTCTGATATCTTTGGACTTTAGTTTTATATCTACTTCTTTATCAATATCCGTCTTTTCTGTGTAATTTTTGCTCAGCCGGTATGCACGCTTTTTGTATTTCTCTTTAAGCCTTCTTTCACAATCAAACCGAACTCTCAACTGAAATAGGTCTCGATATGCTTTCGAGTTTTCTTTTCTTGTACGTTTTCGTCCTCGTTTCTTTGGAGGAATGTTTTCAGGGTTGTCTGTATTTGGACTAGTTGGGGGGCTCAGCTGTTGTTGTACAACTCCCATAAGAAGGTGGATACCTTAATACATAATGATATACATCAGTTGCAATAAATGTAACGTAACAATATAAATCCGTGTTTAAATTAAAAATAATGCATTGGAACGCTCTGGGACGCTCAATTTAAATTTCTTCGGGACGCTTTTTAGACCGATTTCTTTCAATAACAATATTCGAATTTTACGTACTTTCACGTAAGTATCGTAAATTTAAGTTACATCAACATTTTATAAACACCGTACAAACGGGATAATTTCTTGTTGTTGAATGTTTTTACTTTCTGTTGTTTTATGATTGCAAGCAAATTGGCGAGAACCAGTCCCAATTTGGGTTACGTCCCTTAGTACAAAATGGCAGCCTCTGGGGGAGGAATTGCTCCTCTGCCACCAAAACGACCCACAATCATACGCCCTAGCCCTGAAGGAGGTATTATTGAATTAAACATTTTGATATAATAACTGTACAATTTTGTAATTGGGATATGTACGAGTTGTCTTTTTGCTTTGTCCAAAATTGATGGTGACACAATTTTTATCATAGTCAACTGGTCAACCTGTCAACGTTAATCAGCTGGCAAAGTCCAGTGACGTTTACAAAACTTATTTTGACCGTACAGTATAGGAGGATAGGAGGAGCTTACAAATAAGCCTTCTTGGCTTAAATGCTCAGAAGGAGAGGAGAGGAGGAGTCAACACCTATTTCTGGGTCTTGACCGGCGGTCTTGACCAGTTGACACTGTTTTAAACTCAGGGACCCAGCACAGTGTTGGGGTTGGGCGTCAGCGGACAAGTAGTTAAGGTGGTTGACTTCAAACCACTTGCCCCTCACCGCAAGGCCGTCGTCGATGGTCCGGCCGGTCCGGCTTTGGCCGGACCAATATTTTGGCCAAAAAATGAGTAAAAAAAAACAAAAACAAAAACAAAAAATTAGAAAAACACCCATCGCTGATTAGCAATTTGACACTTAACTGGCCCCTTATGCAATACGCGGTAACATACAAACATGACGCGAAGAAACAAATGGACACTGTTAATTGACCAGGTATATGTAGGGGTCCTACGAAGTTAAGTGTGAAGTTAATTGACATCGATGTGGCTTTGTACAGTTCACCGTATATACATGTATATATATGTGCATTATGAGTATCTTGAACTCGTATGCCTGAATTCTCCGAGAACTTGATAATATTTTATTGATTGTACGCGGCAACCGTTCAAAAGTCATATTTTTATCACATATCCGTGCCGTTTTTGCGACTCCTTGAAAATGGTATTGCACGGCCGTGCATATATTTTGACGTCATTTGCGTTATACACACTATATAAATGTTAGCGTTTTTCTATGGGCGTCAATGAAAAATGGTTCTTTTTCACTTCAAAAGGTACTTATTTTTGGTATGTTATAAACAGAATATTGAATTCATGTAAGTTCATTACTGAATTTATTGAACTCGTTGAATAAAATAAATTTTCATTTAACTCCTTAAATAAATTCAGTAATTAACTCATTCAATTACTCTATTACATAATTACAGTGCAGGACGTGTTCCGGCCTAAGTATTTTGAAGCAATCGATGTTGCCATGGCCAGTGTTAAACAGAGATTTGACCAACCGAGATATCGCGTACTTCAGAACGTGGAGGGTTTATTTATTAAGGCCGCACAACCTTTTGCAACGATATTAAAAGAGACATCTTAGAGGTGCAGCTTCAGCTGTAACGTTCACATTTTGACAAATCAGAAAATAGTACTGTTACTCTACCTGACGCTTTGAAATTTGTGTCAAAACAATCGGTGCTAGAACTGATCGAGGTCGTTGTGTTGTTAAAAAATTTGTTAGTAATGCCTGCTACTAATGCTACCAGTGAAAGGACATTCTCGGAGCTCAAAAGAATAAATGTGAAAATACACAGGGAGATAATAAGAACGGCGAGTGCATTGTTGTAGAATAATGCACGCTTCGGACGTGCTTTGTTTATACATGTATAGAAAAAATTCCGATAGTGTTAGAATGTTTATTTTTCATTCGCCAAATACCAATTACATGTATTCATCTTTTATGTTCACCTGCCTGTCCGTTATGCAAACCTTAAATTTCACCCTTAAAACTTACGACGCACTTAAATCTGTAAAAAAATCGTTGACATTTTACTATAACATGTTCTATCGACAGGCTGTAAAATGTGCCAAATATACGGGAAAACGCCCCTGAGAGCATCCTAGAATAAAAAAATTTCCGGGGGAGCATGCCCCCGTACCCCCCTAGATTCTGGCTAAAATCTACCAAATTGGCCGCACCAATCACAAAATCGTGACGACGGGCCTGCACCGCTGTGGGTTCGAATCCCTACGGGGACTTTGGATTCTTTCATGTGAGGAAGCTATCCAGGTGGTTCTACTCAGGTGCCTGTTCGTGCCTGAAATTATGCACGGAACACGGGAAGGGCACCTGAGGTCTTCCTCCACCAGTACAGCTTGAACGTAGTGATATGACCTATACTGTGTCAATGTGACATAAAACCAAAAAAAAACAGTGTTTGGGCAATGTAAAAAGTAATTCTTCTTCTAGAAAAAATATATCCTGGTTTCTCGTATTATCAAGGGGCTAAGGACTAAACCTGGTTGGATAATTTTTATAAAACATTTTGGTACATTATATTTTAGCCTGATACCCAGAAAAATACCTTTTTAAGAAAATATAGTGGAAGAAAGATCGTAACCAAAACAAAAAATATTTCTGCTTGTATAATACTGACCTTCACCCTCTATGTGAAGCAGGTGCTTTCTCATATTATCGTGGAATTTGATTGGTTGTTAAGGCTGGTAGCTATGTGATGATTTTATTCTACACACCAGTTCATATCATTAGTGCAACTCTTAATTAAATGTTAAATGGCTTGGCCATGTAATTATTTAGTGTTTTAATAAAAAGGCCATAATCAAACTTTTTAAGATCATATTGACGCCGTTTGTAACTAAATGATTTGGTTTGTTCTAAAAATAGTTTGAACTCCGTTAAGTGTTGTTGTTTACATTATCCCTCTAAAATATATTAAGTTTATGTTATCTTATTAGTTATATGACCATTTAGCAATGAATACTACAGTTTTCCATCACAGCGGCACGTGTTTTTGTTGTTTTGATGTCAAAAATAAAAAATGATAAGGTAACAATGTTTCATTATTGGTTTTTAATTGGAGTTCATATGTTTTGTATATTATCTATTTATGGAACAAATATTTTGAGCTGTATTGTACATATAGTAGCGTGAGACCGTCATTTGAAGCGCTGTGTCAGAGACCCGCTACAGGTTTCTGCAACATGGAAATAACTAGAAAATTGATGATTTTGGGGAAAAAACTAATAAATTTAATGTTTTTTTCTCTGGATTTTATGATAATTTCCATAGTTATTTTGTTTTTAGTCCCCTACCGGTTTAACCGGAGGGGACTTTAGGTTTTACCTCCGTCCGTCTGACCGTACGAACCCAGAGGTACTTGTGTGACTTGGAGAACAATGGGTAACAGTAAATTCTCTTTGATCCTATTCATTCCGTTTTTACTTGTGTGTCTTTTTTTAAGCCTTGTGTGACTAAAAATGGCCAAAAAGATCAAAGGAAAAGTCACATAAGTACCATTTTGTGAGTACGTCTGTCCGTCAGTCCACAAAACTGGATCCCGCGATAACGCAAAAAATACTAAATATATTTTATGAAACTTGATATATGGATAGATTGGCAGTATGGAGATTATGCACGTCTTTTTCTTTTGTTCCTATGTTGAAAATTCTGGTTGCTATGGCAACAAATAGTCTGAAAATATGGCAAATTTAACACATAAACTGGATCCAGTGATAACTCAAAAAGTACTGAAAATACTTTTATGAAACTTAAAACATGGGTAGATGGCAGTCTGGAAATTATGCACATCTTTTTCTTTTCTTCTTATGTTGAAAATTCTTGTTGCTATGGCAACAAATAGCCTGAATTTCAAGATTTCTGATTTAAATTTTTCAGTTTTTTCACTATACGTTCTTTATTTCTTAAGGTTTTTACTTCAAACTTTAAATATAAGTTTCTGGTCATCAACCACATCATAATTATGTAACAAGGTTTACAACTCTAGCACAAAAATTATCAGTATTACCTCCCTTGAACTTAGAATTTTTATGAAAAAAAAATGTTGTCTTTTTAAATAACTTCTTTATTTCTTAATGTATCTACTTCAAACTTCATATATAATTATTATGTTTCTTATTATCACTCAACATTTTTGAGAAGGTTAAATACTCTAGCAAGACTATTTCCAGAATTATGTCCCCCTTGAACTTAGATTTTTTTTCGAGAAATTGGTATTTTTTACTCCAACTTCTTCATTCCTTATAGGATTTACTTTAAAATCCCACATCCTAATAATATGACAAGGTTGTATAAACATAAATTCCTTACTAGGCAGGGAAACTTAACACATTACTGTGATATAGACAAACTTAGAACTCAAAAGATTTAAGTTCATTCATGTCATTCATTCACTGGTAAAATTGAATGGGTAATGGCCCATCAGAATGTTGCTGGGGTTCTAACCGGTAGGGGACTTATGGATTGCTTGCAATACTATGATAATTGCTTGTTTTATCTGTTTTTGTCGTATTTCTTTCATTATTTTTGTGAGAGATGAAAAAGCTCTGCTCAAACGACAAGTTTTTGGATATCGACTGAAGTCGCGAGCGTCACTTCCATCTGTTTTAATAATTCCAAGATAAATGAGAAACCAGGATAATACGAGAAACTGGGATACTAGCTGTATATAATATGAAATTAGGCAAAGCATATGAACAGGGAAGTCATTAAAAATTCCTTTCAGTTTTTTTTTCGTTTTAAAGGTGTCATTCGGTTTTTCATGCACCGCTTCTGTTTTCACTCGGAACACTTGACCTTCATGCATGTGACAAACAAAATTGGCCAAATCTGGATTTTCAGCTGGATTTTGAGGCTCAAAACTGAATTTTTTTATTGACTCGAATTTCAGTGTGATGTTTGGCACATTTGGTTCAAAGAATCTATATTACCCTCAAAATCATTAAATGGTTATAATTGTTATGATTTTTTTGTTGATCAATATTAATTAATTTCGCCAAAAAAATTAAAAAATACGATTGTGTTGGACCTAGCAAAAATACGATATTCTATCTGAAATATCGAATGGTTTAAGTGGGGACAATAATGTCATTGTTTACGTCTAGTGATGTCAGTTTAGCTGCAATTTGATTTATGGCTTTATATAATTTACGTGAAAAAGACTGCGCAATTTTGACTTATACTGGACTAGTGGGGTTTGGCCGATTTGGTGAGTTCAACCCCTTGTCTATGTATTATATAGGGAAGTCAAAGTCTTGGCTCATTTTGCGGGCCCAGACTTTGGCTTGCCCGGCTATAGACTACATGTGTATATTTAAAAGAAAATCAAATAAAAAACAATTAGAAATATATAGAAATCTATGCCTATCAATTTAATTTTCAGTGTCAGTTCTTGTTAGGCGCCCCAATTTACAATATAACTCAATGATAAAAGATGGTGTATTCCGATAACAGAACAAATCTCAACTTTTCGGATTAATCATAAACGTCCATACATGTGATTATCCCCACGGGTTTTTAAAAAATCCTGATATTTCGACACTAATCCCCAGTCCCGATATTACAGCTTGAATTCCCGATATTTAGAAAAAAATCAACATAAAAAAATCAAACACAGTACCTGTATACATGTAAAATGTACACCGTGCCTCCGGGCATTGATTGTTATCTGTCCATATCCTAAATTATAGCGGATTAAATGAAGTAAATAAAATAACTTTCCTATAAATTGATTAGCAATCTGGTGAACTTATTTTATGTAAACTTCTAATGATTAGCAAATAGGAAGGAATTTTCAACTGTTAGCGCATACAGATTTTTAAGCTTTTATTTTCAGTGCTGTCTACAGGCTTTATTTAGGAAATAGATATCAATTCTGAGTGCATTGTTGTAGAATAATGCACGGTTTGAGTTCAAATGCGTAGTAATATAATCACGAAGGCCGATAGGCCTGAGTGATTAATTACAAAGCATTTGAACGAAAAACGTGCATTATTGTACAATAATGCACGAAGAATTAATATCTATTTCCATTCTAACACGTCAAGAAAAAATATAATTATTATTGTTAAGTTGGACTTTATGTTTGGCGGTTAAATTTGTTTTCGCCTTAGAGTTTCCAATAGAAACGTTCTTTAAAGGCCGTTCCAGTGGGTTGAAAAAAACTGTCGTTAAATCTACCGTGTGTAGAAACATTTTGAGAATAACGAATTTTGAAAACGTTGATAAAACTTTGTTTGTTTATTTTATTTCATTCTATAATTTTCCAAGCGAAATACAAATTATTAAAAGTGAAATAAATGTAAAACTAAACTCGTCTGCGACGTTAAAATAGCGTACTTGATTTTGATTGTTTTGCACGTGCTGTTTGGCGCTACATTGTGACGTCACGTAAACAACACTTTAAACGTCTGTACAGCGTTAACAACTGAATTAAAGATATTGGTGTTCGGATTTATTTTCTTAGTAATAGACCATTTTCTATCATTCTAGATAGTTTTCACAACAAAATTCGACAAAAAATTGTTTTTATTTATCAGATTTTTCAAACAAAATGGCGCCCTCAATGTGAAAATACACAGGGAGATAATAAGAACGGCGAGTGCATTGTTGCAGAATAATGCACGCTTCGGGCCTTCTTTGTCTATATAGAAAAATTTCCGATAGTGTTAGAATATTATTTTTTAGTTGAAATTTCTTTTAATACAGAATGTAAAATATATTTTTTAAAATTTTTTTTTTAAAATGAAATTTTCCTCTTTGTAAATTCTTACGTTATCTAGGCTCTTGTTTAATAAATTAGCATTAAAAATATTTGAGTGTGCTGTCGTACTGACAGCTCTTGTATTTTCTTACATTTAAAAAAAAAATTCATGATAGATATTCATCATGACATGTCAAGCTTAAAATACTTGTTGAACATCAAGGCAAAAATTATTCTGAATCAGAATTATGCCCCCTTTTAAAAACTAACAATAGTGGTGCATGCTGATCCTAGCACAGCTCTTTTCAAGCAGTTTATTTGAATTTTTCAAATATGATCTGTAGCCAGGCAAGCCAAATTTATAAACACATCAGGTCTGGTCTGTGACTTTTTGTAGGCGTATAAATCAAAATTTTCAGCATAACTCCAATTCTTTCCATGAAGTTATAGTACAATTTTAATGTTCTCAGCCACTCAAAGTTATAACATGGAATGAAAGTAATATTTTGTCATATTTTCAGGTCCGCCCGTACCTTCTAGACCAGCCCCGTCAGTGCCTGGAGGGGTCCGCCCTCCTCCTGCAGTACCTCACAGAACAATTGGTAGGTATACTTGTCATCACTAGAGCATGCTTATAAAAGGATATCACCTATATTAAGTTTTAAAATCTAAATTTAGCAAAAGTGTCAGGTAGATATAAAGAGGAATAGGTTCTAAAGATTTAAATGATGATGATTGGAGGAAAGCAACTCACTTTGAGCAGGTATCATGATGAAATTAATTGATGTGAATTAATTATAGATAGATTATGTTGAAAGCTATAAGCTTATTGAAACACTCAGTGATCTTAAATCCAATCCTGAAACAACTATTGCCAAACAATGAGTGTAAGGTTTTGTTTGTTTAATTTGGTTTTAAGTCACTAGGTATAGGTCATATGGCGACATTCCAGTTTTACTGGTGGAAAAAAACCTCAGGTGCCCTTGTGTGCATTATTTCAGGCACAAATGGGTATCTGAGTAGAACCACCAATGTAACGTAACTTTGTAATCCTGCTGGATGAGTTTAAGGCTAAATGGTAAGGAGAGTAACAGTTTGCCCCTGAAGGTATTTGAACCTATGTTGCCTGCAATTCTTAGATTACAAGTCTGATGCGTTAACAACTCGGCCACACTACCACTTGAGAAAATTTAACATAGACAGTTCAGAGGTCATTTAGTGTAGATTTTAGAATGACCATGGTGATTTTTTTTAGAGTAATGCACTTTACACAAGTAATCTATTTTCACTGAATCAAGCAACAGATGACATTTGTGTTAACAGTTTTTGATTGAGGACATATAGCCACCAAACTGATGTGTCATGTTAAATTCAAATTATCTTACTAAGATGAGAACTTTATTTTAGATGCAGAAGTAGTGCACTCCAGATCACAGCCTCCACCTCCACCCTCTAGACCCTCAGATCCAGTCAGACAGCAAGTCCCTCCTCCATCGAAACTTCAACCCCCACCACCTTCAAGGCCCCCTGAAGTGGCTAGAGCAAAATCTAGCATCATAAAGGCTACGGATAAGTCAAATAATGCAGCTGTACGGAAGTAAGTGTTATCAGATAATTCTACCCTTACTTAGATCAACAAATTATAGCCAAGTTTTGTAGAATCTTACTACAGTCCAATTATTTCACATCAATATTCACAGAATATTGAAACCTTTGTGTTAATATACGATGCATAATTGATGATACACTTACTTTTATCAGTTAAATATGCTTAGCTTAATCAGTGAGATATACTGTGCTGTACTACACTATGATTATAATTGTATTATTTTCAGGAGACCAGAAATTACTATTGTGAGTGCGCGGCCCATGAGTGAGATTGATTTTAAGGGCACAAAACCTGCTCTATCTCCAACCAGTCATGTCAAAGAAGAAATCCAATCTGCTTTAGTACCTTCATCTTCACCAAAAGAGAAGGAAATTTCTGCTGCACCAGCTCACCCTCCTGCTCCAGCTCCGAGAGTGTCCCCAAGGGTGGAAAAGCCAGATAAAGCACAAACTAGTCCAAGGGGAGCTCCCCCACCTGTGCCTAGACATTCTGTGATAAGGACCAATGTTGATGAGGAGAGTGATCTTATGCATGAATCAAAATCTGAGGAGATTAAAACTGTTCCAAGAGGCCCTCCACCACCCGTGCCTAGACCTACTATAATAAAGCCTAATGTGCCTCCTTCAGCACCCTCAGGAAGAACTCCTCCATTACCAGGGAGGCCCCCTGTTTCACCAAAGGTGCCTCATCAGGGAATATCTGAACATTTTCTGGAACAAAATTTAGATAGTCATGACTCTCCTGTTTCACCACCAATGCCCTATGGGGCACCCCCACCTGTGCCTAGGGGTCCTTCAGTTATGAACAAGTTACCATCCCCATTAGTGCCTCGTAAGATAAATGATCTGCCACAAAAAGATACAAATGAAATCCACAAGAACTCTGTTGACACTAATATAAATGCTGCTGACTTACAGGATAAAACTGACACTGTTGAAGATGTAAGTGAACTATATGCTGTGATAAATAAACCGAAGAGACCCACTATAATCAGACCTGGTAGACCAAGTAGTACAGTAAAAACTGAATCAAATAGAGAAAATGACGCAAGTTCTGCAAATGAGATTAAGCCAAAAATTTCGCCCACACCTAGATTACCAAGAAACATTAAAAATGAACGTGAATCCTCAAATGTAGACAATTCAATGGATGGCAGTGAAGAACAATCTGAAAATAAAAGTGATGGAAATCCAGTTCCAGAGTTTCTGAGAAAAAAATTAAAATCAACTGTGGATCAAGGTGACAAACAAGAAACAGATGAATCTGGTCCCACTGCTGGCGGTGGGCCAAAGGTTCCTCTTAAACCAAGACCCCTGTCATCCAAGGGACCGCCCCCAGCAACTAAACCTAAACCTTCTGTTCTTCCAAGGCCACATATTGCTTCAAAGCCACAGTCTACTGTGAAAGCACCTGAGACTGAGTCACATGAAGCGACATTCAGTCAGAATGCAGCAATGGAAAAGAAAAGCATTGAAAACCAGTCTGAATTTCATGATAATGAAGTACATAAAGAGGCTGTCGGTGAAGTTCCACAGCAAGTTAAACCTGCAATGACGAAGAGACCAACTATTATTCGTCCGAATAAATCAGTTAAAACAAGTAGTGTAGAAAATGTAAGTATAGAGAGTAGAACAGAGAAAAGTGATTCTGATAAAGTTAATTTATTCAGTGACGACAGTGCCATAGATGTGAAACATCGCACGCAACCGCCTCTCCCGAACAAAAGACCTGTCTCAATGATTAACATCCATAGAGCCGTGGAAAATGAAGATCACAATATGTCAGAAAATCTTTCATATAATTCATCACGATCTATAGAAAATGTAAGTGAAACTGTCAGTCCTAAACCTAGACCAGCTGCAAGATCAAGACCAGTTACTATGATCGTCCCTCCTGTTTCCCGGCCTCCATTACCAAGTGCAGGACCAAAGCGCGACAAATCTGGCCAACCATCTAGGCCTCTTGGAAGACCACCAGTCAAACCTCTGGCACCTGAGATCGACAGTCATGGCAAAAAACATGATAGTGAAGACGATGTTAATGACAAAAAGCCATTGTCACAGGTTCCTTTTGGTGTGTCAGTTTTTCCAAAGCCTGAAGTGGAAATTGATAGCCCTCCAAAACCGATTCACAGGCCTCCACCTCCAATGAAATCCCCGCGAAAATCTTTAGACTCTTCGGATGATGACGAGTTTGTAACAGCCAAAGAAAAGCCAGACAGACCTTCAGGTGAAAGTTATTCTAATTATCAGCATGTGATATGCTTATTTAGTGTTTAGGGTCAGTAGAACCCCAGAATTAAAAAAAAAAATTCTTGAAAAATTAGAAAGTTCAGTCCGACCCCGGTTATTCGACAACCCTTTATTCGAATACCCGGCATTATCCGAAGTAGATCGGCGGTCCCGTTTTTATCTCTATATAAAACAATATAAATACGAGCGTATTATTCGAAATGCATTATCCAAATACCTCCCATTTTTCGAAGTAAAATTTCGGTCCCGATTATACAATTATGAAAGAATTTCACACCTATTATTCGAAGCCAGCCTAATTATGATTCGAAGCCAGACTAATTGGCGCAGATCCACTCGCGGACCAGTCGACTTGTGAAAAATATCCACAGTCATGTGTGTAATTCGACAATCATGATAATAACTCTTTATATGTTCTTTAATCAACTTTAATTACCGAAAATGAAAAGCTATGCACCGTGTCCGATTTTGTTGAAGATGACAGCAATTATTTTTATACTTTCCGTATATGTGAATTTGTCAAAACATCCAAAACTTTTTTTTTCATTAATTGTAACGCTACATGAGAGCCTTAATTTATCCTAATCGAAAATACAAGAGTTTAGCTGAAAATACCGTCGTGACGACACGGCCATTATCTAGGCTTTGCGCGAAACGAAACGATACATAATGTAAAATAAAATGCAAGTATTTATGTCTTCAATGTCAATACAATAATTTTTACACATCTTTTCTTAGATATTTATTTTTCTCAATTGATTACAGGAAGCAAGTGTGTTGTAAACGGTAGTTTTTCAATGATTGGTCAAAGTGGAGTAGTTTTCGTCTATCGCAATATTTCGATTTCGATTATTCGAACCCATCGATTATTTGAAGTAAATATTCAGTCCCAGGCACTTCGAATAAACGGGGTTGGACTGTAGTTTTTTACTATGAAAATTTTAATAAGTGTAAAAAATTAGAAGTTAACTATTCACGATTCTGTGGTAGAATGCACTTTACCAATATGTGCTTATAGAATATGTCTGAAATTGAAATATGGTGGTCATTAATTTATTGAATCAATGGGGGATGATGTAGAAAATGAAGGGTTTTGGGGGTGGTAGCCCTAAATATGAAGCAGACAAGCAAAAGATTGATGAACAAATAAGAACAGCCCTTCAACTTTGTTCCTGAAAAGCTGTTGCTTATATTAAGCATGCTATTTACAGGAACTTCTGGTCTGTTTCTATGTGCTGGTAAAGTGCATTTGTACCCTATGTTGGTCTAAATTTCATATGAGGCATTGAAGGAAATGATAGATGATATGGATTATTATATGCAGGCAGTGGGATTAAATGTTTCATTTAATGTTTCATAAAATGTTAAATGCTGTACATGTAAATTCATTAATGTTATTCCATGGCAAAAAAAAAAAAAAATCTTAGTCCTAGCAAACATTTCACTACATTACAGCTGCACCAGTTCGAAGGTTTTCCGGTTCTGTTCATAGAGATTCTGGTGAAGATGATGTGAAAAAACCACCTCGTCCAGGCCCACCTCCTGCTCACAAAGGTACCGCCTTCCATTCTTTATAATTGTAATCTTATAAAGTAAGGATGTTACACATAACTGTCATTAATCCTTGATTCTATACTTTTTTCAGTTTCAAACATTGTGATGTGACATATATTTCACTGATATATTTTAAAACTGCATTGAAAAGCAAGAGATTATGATACAAATATTTCAGGGGCGTCCATGGCAGAGTGGTGAAAATCTTTGTCTTCAAACCACTTGCCTCTCCTGGCTTTGAATCGGCAAGGGACTTTCATGTGAGGATGCTTCCCAGTTAGCTTATGTAACATTGGTGGTCCTACTTAGGTGCCTGTTCATGCCTGAAATAATGCACGGACATGCATCTGTATTCCTCCACCAGTTAAGCTGGAAAGTTGCCATATGACCTCTACCATTTTGGTGCGATGTTAAAACCAACAGAAAATAAAATGCAAATTCTTTTCCTAGATATGACAATACTAAACATTTAAGCATTAAACTTAATGTTTTGTGTGTTAATAAGATACATATAAATAGTTAAGTTTATACAAGGAAAACATGAGACTTGATTATAATGATATCACAGTAGTTCATGTATCTGAGATAGAATCACTCTCTGAGTGAAATAAGTTGTTGGATTCTTAAGAAATGATCTAGCAAGCTTATATATGAGCCACGCCATGACAAAACGAACATAATGGGTGTGCGACCAGCATGGATCCAGACCAGTCTGCGCGCAGTCTGATCAGGATCCATGCTGTTAGATTACAAACCCTATTACAAGTAGAGAAACTGATAGCGAACAGCATGGATCCTGATCAGACTGCGGGGATGCCCAGACTGGTCTGGATCCATGCTGGTCGCAAATGTGCTATGGGGGTTTTGTCGTGACGCGGCTCATATGATTGTAGCTTCTATCCAGGTGCTTTCACATATATCTTATAAGTCTCCCTGATCATATGGCATACAAGTATTACAATGTGTTGAGCTTGTCTGTTTCGAAGAAAAAGTTGAGCTACTAGGATCGTTGTGATGGCGTCATTGTTATAATCGTAGTGCAAAAATTTCAATGTAGACTACTGTTCAAACATTTTAAAAGTTAACAACATGAAACTTTATATACTTGCTTATCATGACATAGTGCAGTTTTTATTTGTTTGGGTCGTCAGAGCAAACAAATAATGGTAGCGAAATTTCAGACCCTGATGCTGTTAATTGCAAATGCCGAAAGTAGTCCGCTTTTTTGAAGTGGTTACTTCCCTTTATATGTACACTAACGCCGAAAAATTCAGGGGAGATCACTGCGTAAAGATTGTCAAATGACAGGCGCATTAATTTTCAAGCAAAATAGTTCCCGAATGGTCGAATACTTCTAATATTGTTTTATTCTTTATATATATACATGCTTATAGTAAGCTCCATGATTATTTACATCTGTGTTAAACAACAGGTTTAGCGTCGAAATAATTAAGAGTTACAAACCCTAATTTAAAATAATAAGGTTTTCTTCAGGCCGTTTACATATAACTTCACCGTGGCCGAGGGGTTTTCAGGCTCGCTTAGGAATCGAGTGGTCTGGAGTTCAAATCCCATTTGAGACTACTCTTTTTTCTTTTTTTAAAATTTTTTTTTAAGTCAAATAAACATTGAATTGAATATCAGAGTTGCAATTAGTCTTATAGCCAATTTACTACAGTTAAAACACTGAAAAGCATTAGTGGCTCTATACAAAAACAAATTGGTTTATAATCTCACAACCTTCACCTCTCTGACATTCTGAGACCCAAACAAATTCAGTGCCTTCTGTGCTTTGATTAGACAAAGGGCATAAAACTAAAAGCAGTACTTTTGGGAAACATGCCCCTTTTTATACCCCCAAAAACGAAGTTTGGGGGGGTATATAGGAGTCACCCGGTGGTCGGTCGGTCGGTTGGTCGGTCGGGCGGTCGGTCGGTCGGTCGGTCCAGACGTCCGTTGCATTTTCCTTGTCCGGAGCATAACTTGAAAACTAATGGTTGGAATTCAATATAACTACATACAATGGTCAAGCACATTGAGAGGAAGTGCAGTGCACAAGAACCATAACTCTATCTTGACTATTTACAGAGTTATTGCCCTTTGTTACTTTTCCTTGTCCGGGGCATTACTTGAAAACTACTGGTTGGAATTCAAAACAACTTCATACAATTGTCAAACACAATAAGGGGAAGTGCAGTGCACAAGAACCATAACTCTATCTAAAGTAATTACAGAGTTATTGCCCTTTGTTGCTTTTCCATTGTTTTTTTTTTTGTCCGTTGCATTTTCCTTGTCCGGAGCATAACTTGAAGACTAATGGTTGGAATTCAATATAACTACATACAATGGTCAAGCACATTGAGAGGAAGTGCAGTGCACAAGAACCATAACTCTATCTTGACTAATTACAGAGTTATTGCCCTTTGTTACTTTTCCTTGTCCGGGGCATAACTTGAAAACTACTGGTTGGAATTCAAAACAACTTCATACAATTGTCAAACACAATAAGGGGAAGTGCAGTGCACAAGAACCATAACTCTATCTAAAGTAATTACAGAGTTATTGCCCTTTGTTGCTTTTCCATTGCGTTTTTTTTTGTCCGCTGCATTTTCCTTGTCCGGAGCATAACTTGAAGACTAATGGTTGGAATTCAATATAACTACATACAATGGTCAAGCACATTGAGAGGAAGTGCAGTGCACAAGAACCATAACTCTATCTTGACTAATTACAGAGTTATTGCCCTTTGTTACTTTTCCTTGTCCGGGGCATTACTTGAAAACTACTGGTTGGAATTCAAAACAACTTCATACAATTGTCAAACACAATAAGGGGAAGTGCAGTGCACAAGAACCATAACTCTATCTAAAGTAATTACAGAGTTATTGCCCTTTGTTGCTTTTCAATTGCCTTCTTTTTTTTGTCCGGAGCATAACTTGAAGACTAATGGTTGGAATTCAATATAACTACATACAATGGTCAAGCACATTAAGAGGAAGTGCAGTGCATAAGAACCATAACTCTGTCTAAAGTAATTACAGAGTTATTGCCCTTTATTACTTTTCCATTGCTTTCTTTTGTCCGGACCATAACTTGAAGACTAATTGTTGGAATTCATTATAACTTCATACAATGGTCCAGCACATTGAGAGGAAGTGCAGTGCACAAGAACCATAACTCCATTTTGACTTATTACAGAGTTACTGCCCTTTGTTTCTTTTCCTTGTCCAGAGCATGACTTTAAAACTACTGGTTGGAATTCAAAACAACTTCATACAATGGTCAAGCACAATAAGGGGAAGTGCAGTGCACAAGAACCATAACTCCATCTTGACTAATTACAGAGTTATTGCCCTTTGTTACTTTTCCATTGTTTTCTTTTGTCCGGACCATAACTTGAAGACTTATTGTTGGAATTCATTATAACTTCATACAATGGTCAAGCACATTGAGAGGAAGTGCAGTGCATAGGAACCATAACTCCATCTTGACTAATTACAGAGTTACTGCCCTTTGTTACTTTTCCTTGTCCAGAGCATGACTTGAAAACTATTGGTTGGAATTCAAAACAACTTCATACAATGGTCAAGCACAATAAGGGGAAGTGCAGTGCACAAGAACCATAACTCCATCTTGACTAATTACAGAGTTATTGCCCTTTGTTACTTTTCCTTGTCCAGAGCATAACTTGAAAACTACTGTTTGGAATTCAGTACAACTTCATACAGTTGTCAAGGACATTCAAAGAAAGTGCAGTGCACAAGAGCCATAACTCCATTTTGACAAAATACAGAGTTACTGCCCTTTTATACTTTTCCTTGTCCGGAGCATAACTTAAAACGTACTGGTTGGAATTCAAAACAACTTCATACAATGGTCAAGCACAATAGGAGGAAGTGCAGTGCACAAGAACTATAACTCTATCTTCAGTATTTATAGAGTTATTGCCCTTTGTTCTTTTTCTTTGTCTTTCTGGACTTATTACAGAGTAATTCAATTAAACTTCATCAATGGCCAACCTCATTGAAAGGAAATGCAACATACATGAACCACAATTATCTTTAATTGCCCACAACCATAACTCTATGTTTCAATTCTTTTACAAGATATTCTGTTACTAGTAACATCCTCATTTCCGAAGCAGACTTGTGGGGGTATTAATCACATTTAGTGATAGTTCTAGTTTAACTTAGAATTTCCAAAGACAAGCATTAACACAGCATGTGGAGCTGTTGTTATGTTTTATACCCTGACTATACATAAAAGGAAAGAGAAAAACTTGATTTTCATTTCAGATGAACATGATGAAGATATAGTGAAGATTAGACCTCCAAAGCCAGAGGGAAGACCTCAAAGACCAATGTCAATGCCTGTCAAACAGTGAGTACTAAGTCATTGACTGATTTAAAGCTACATGCCTTCAGACATGCTATTTCAAGGACATCAACCTTATGGAAAATGTACTAAGAGTTTAAGAAAAGTGAAAATATTTACAATTTAAGTAATAATTGACAAGAAAGATGGAATGAGTGACTGATTTTACAGTATTTATCACCATATTTTGACTGCGAGACGACTTTTGTTGCATAATTTCACATTTATTTGGTAATTTATTTGGATTGAAAGTGGCATTTCCCATGATTATGTAAAGTACTTTCTTTGTTCACATTAAAATATTTTACTGTGAAGATCATTGCCTTAGTATCTCAGTCCTAGTTGCCACAGATTTGAATTCAACTTGGAAAATTAAATTATTTAATGTTGAACATGGTACATCCTTTTGTCTTTAAATTGCCAGTAAAGCTAGATATTTCACTATGTCCTTTCTGAACAACCCAACAAAAGAGTAGATCTGTACTTTATTGCAAGTAAAATATGTTTTCAGAAGTCCACCACAAAAATCTCCACCACAGAAACCTCAAGGTCCAAGTACAGGAAAGAAGAATTTACCCTCGTTGCCATCACGACCTAAGCCTGGTCATCCCCTGTACTACCATATGATGCAAGTTCCTCATGGGATAGCTGTACATGACTATACAGCTCAACATGATGATGAACTTAGTTTCAAGGTTAAAAAGAAATCTTTCTCAAATTATTTTTAGATTGTTTTATCATTATCACATCATGAAAGTGTTTAAAGTTGCACTTATACATGGTTGCTATATTGATGTGATAAAGTGTTTGTCTTTGGTTTGAGAGGTCTGAAGTTTGATACATTCCTTAGATTTAAGAGGTCTTAAGTCTGAAGCATGCCTTAGATTTAAGAGGTCTAAAGTGTGGTACATATGTCTGAAGTCTGGTACATGCCTTAGATTTGAGAGGTCTGAAGTCCGATACATGCCTTAGATTTGAGAGGTCTGATGGCTGATGCATGCCTTAGATTTGAGAGGTCTGATGGCTGATGCATGCCTTATATTTGAGAGGTCTGAAGTCTGATACATGTCTTAGATTTGAGAGGTCTGAAGTCTGATACATGTCTTAGATTTTAGAGGTCTGAACTCTGATACATACTTTAGATTTGAGTGGTCTGATACATGCCTTAGATTTGAGAGTTCTTACGGCTAATACATGCCTTAGATTTGAGAGGTCTGAAGATACGTGCCTTAGATTTGAGAGGTCTGAAGTGTTACAAGCGTAGGAGTAGAATAAAAAAAAAGTAAATTGGTAAGAGGCTCAAGCTCTAAGAATTGTGGAATTACTCGGTTGGAAAATTATAATCACTTTTGGCTCTATTAGGGTAAGGTTGATATAGGATGCAAGAAATTCAAGCTTTAATAAATATATTTATATTCTTAACCAATGTACTGGTTTTATGTAAAAGTAAACTTACTTGATGTCAAAATTATTTTATTGACCTTTTGTAAGGAACTATATTTGTCTTCTTGTTATAGACTGGTGAGTTAATAATCCTCATAAAAAGAGTGGATGGTGACTGGATACTGGGTAAAGTTGATGAGAGAGAAGGGATGTTTCCTCAAGATTTTGTCAAAGTAAAGATGCCATTCCCTGGAGAGGTAAGCAGTAAAGACATAGAGAAAACTAAACAATTTCTGTGTGTTGATGCCCATTCCATTCTGTGTAGGACAATATGATAAATATGGGGAAATTTCAGCTTAATTTTCTGTGTGATTTTTCATATACATGCATGTATCTGGACACATTTACATTGTATGCTAGAATAGTTAATAAGCTATTTTCTTGGTGTCTTCCATCATGCTTAAGGCATTCAATGATTATTGATCAACTTTTTTTTTTTTTAAAGTTTTATTGGAATTTAAGTCCTGTTTTAAAACCATCTATTTCTAAGCATGTTAGCTGGTTTTAGGACCTGATTACATTTTCCTGTGTTAAAATATCATGCGATTTAAAAAATCTTCAATTGTCATTTTGTATGGTCTTGTATTACCTATTCCTTTATGCTGACTTTGAAAATAGATTTTTGTCAATTCAAAGTTCAAGGGATTTCAGTATAAAACACAAAATATAAGTTAACAATGACATATCGCTTCCAGTTCCACAGGAGTAAGGGTTAAACTAGTCACTTAGAACACATGGAATAAACTAGAAAAATCTATACACTCTAATCACTTGATCAAATAATCTTTCCATTCTAGAAAGTTGAGGATGACAACTCTTCGAATGACTCCGCAGAAATGTTTTACGATGCCAGTGCGGAAAAGCCAGATACGATAGGCCATGGACCAAGATGTAGGGCGCGGTTTGACTTTGATGGAGAGGGTCCTGATGATCTTGTATTTGAGGAAGGGGATGTGATAAGACTTATTGAAAAGGTTGGGCTGGAGTGGAGAAAAGGGGAGATCAATGGACATGTTGGGTTGTTTCCCTTGTCATTTGTTGAAATTATTGAAGAGTTACCAGAAGAGGAAGAAAAGGATACAGGAAGTTATGTAAAGGCTATTTTTGACTTTGAAGGTGAAGAAGGGGATCTAAATTTTCAGGTATATATAATAATGCATTAGTCAGTTGTAACCAGAACCTGTCAATCTACTGTGTCCAGAATTTAAACGTTAAAATGCTCATATACTTTATATATTTTCCTTGAAACCAGGTAAATCTAAGTAACTTAAGTTTTGCCATCTTCTTTCATCTTTAACCATTTATGCCGTTACCATCATCTAGCAATTACAAGATTTGAATCACAGACTTAAAGGCACATTAAGCCTCAGAAGTAAATAAATGTTTCTTTCTGTAGAAATAGCCAACACTCTCATTGGCTACATGTTAAATAATTTGCGATTAAGGAAGAAAAATGTAAACAAAGTGGTATTTTGACTTTAGTACAAAATGCGAAATATGTTTATCAGTACAAATTGCCAAAATACAAAAGAAGCAAAAGATGACTAGGCTATATGAACAATGAGTAACTTTAACAGGACACAAAAAGCTTTTGAAAAATAATCATAATAAAATGCATTTTTATGGCTTATTGGGCCTTTAAAACAGGTGAGTGCATTAGAATGATTTCAGTGAAAATACGTATAATAAAAACCCATTCTGCATTGGTTTTTATGGTGTACATGTAATGTTTTTTGTGCTTTTCATTATTGGTTTTGAAGATTATAACTAGCTTATGATGTCTTGTTCCATTGATTCAAGGCAGGTGAAACTATCAAGGTTACACATATGGTTAATGGTGAATGGCTGTATGGGGAGATAGGGGTCAGGAAAGGTCAATTTCCAGTCCAGTTTGTAGACCATGTACCTCATGGATTGCCTCCCTTGTCTAGTGGTGACAGTGATGCCAAGGGAGACAACTTCACAGAAACAAATGTAGAAGATAAACTGACAGCAACTTTATCAATGTGGGGTGATGAAGATCATAATACACAGGTGATTGTTGAATAACGTAGATATACCTTAATGTACCACTTCATTTCATTAAATTCTGGAAAATATTTACACTGATAATCAAATGGACCTTACAATTTTATTGAAACTAGCTAACTGGCTATCCAATTGCCAAACTCTTGTTAGCCTAAAGAATATGTGTAGTGGAATGCAAAAATGGGGCTTCTTGACGTTGACGTCGTTATCGAGAAAATGCGAGATCTTTGACGCCATTTTTTCCTCATTATTTTTCCGTTAATCTGGCATTAAAAAGCGCTTAATTATATAATAAATGACTTGTCAGCACATTTGATCCTGATTCATACAGAGTAATTAACGGCAAAAATAATTTGCTACCGTTCATCCTATGACAGCAAATAAAATTATCACGGGAAAAGATTTTTACGAGGACAACTGATTACGTCATCTGACATTGATTGTTGATAAAATATTGGTGAAATGATTCGATGTTTTTCGGTGTTTTAAAGAATATTTTACACTTACAACGTCTGCTATGACAAAACTATATATAACTGGATTATTCGGGTTAGGTGAGTATTTATTTTTTCTAGTATTTTTGCTTAAATATGTATTTTATCGGAAAATAATTATACCCGGAAGTAGAAACAATTGCAGTTCCTGGACAACGGTTTGTTGATAGCATCGTTGAAAATGGCAGCCAAGTAATCATTTACTCAAAGCAATTAAAACCAAAATTTATGTAATTAATCTCTTAGATAAAACAATCATCAAAGTGAGGAAATTCAAGATTTTCAAGAATTTTAATCTTTACTTTCTTCCATGCATACAGTACTGTACAGTACATGTATGAGAATAAAAATTTGAGCTGTTAAAAACTTGTATCCCAAATGTGAAAATATATCTCTGGCTCCATTGTTTGAGCTGTTTAAATTTTTCAGATCTTTAAAATTAAAAATATGGAGATGTTGCAGTTTCCATAATTTCTCATAACCAGACTCAATAAATGGAGGGTATTGAATGAGTGCATAGACATATATTTTTTCATTGACACAACTAGATTATAGTGTAACACTTACACTTAGCATGTATTTACACTATGTTTCTGTAAGGCATATGATGTCACATCAAAATGTTTGTTCACACTTAGAAGCACATCAATGAATACCTAAGCCTGAACTTGTTTGAAATGATTTAACTAATATTTTAATTAAAAAAATTCACAGCCCTATGACAAGCTTTTTAGAAAGGATACTTATTAAAGGAATCATATCTGCAGGTGCCTTATTAGCAAAACATGAGGACCTCAGGAAAATCTGACTGTTCTATAAATTGTAAAAAACTGTATTGATCAATAAAACATAATTTATAAATTTAACTACTGTACATGTACATTTCAGGCACTTTACCATGCACTCTTGATGTAAAGTACTCCAACCTTTGGGATTATGCCCAACATGTGCACTTTTCCCAGCATTCTCAACCAGTTGGTCCAATATGTTTTAGGATACCAAGAAAGTTCCATGTGTTTGGTGATTGTGTAGAGGGATCAGGTTAGTTTGACCATAACATTTTTTGACATATTTTTTATGTGCATATTGTAAAAACATGTTTAAATATATTATCAAGGTAGATTTCTATATTTTTTTTCTTGTCAGATGTGTTCCTTTGCCATGAATTTTATCCATATTCTTCTATGCCATAGTATTTTCAGTTCCAAAAAGAATATTCAGTTAAATATAATCTTAATTTTAAGTATTATTTACTTAAGTACTATTTATATCATATGCAAACATTTTAAATTTCCAATTTATATGTATTTTAGGACTTCATGGAAGTGTCAGTCTCAACATGCTTGGTACTTTTATATCTGGAAAGTGAAAAACAATGCAACAGGTTTCCTAAGTGTACTGTCCTGAAGTCATCAAGATATGGGTACAATATCCTACAGCTTATAGATGATCCAGAAAATCCATAGGAAGTCATTTCTTAAGTTAAGCCCTCAAACTGTTATCCAAATACCACCATTTTTGTGCAAGTGCAATGGAGCCAAGTGTTATAACATGTAAAGAATATATCAACTCTGCGGAGGTAAAAATGTATTTACTGAAACAATTGCCTCCCAGAGGTCTTTTACCTGAAGTACAGTAATGATGCAGCAAGACATTAGTATCTATTTGAACAAATTGGGCAGTTCTTCAAATCTGACATAGCTAAAATACTGTATGGCCAAAACCAGTTATCCCGAAAACAGAAATAAAATTGGATATTGACAATTATGTGAAAAAGGTGGAAAGAAAAACAGCAGTCTTTTACTCTTGAGTATAAATGGAGTTCCTATAACATAGTGGTCATGTATGGACTGTCATTATTTTCTTCATTTCAAATATAGCTTATGATACAAGTAGATGCTTCATAAGATAAGACTGCAAGTGTGTTGCATAACTGGTGCTATAAGGACTAATGCTATATTAAAAAGTGTGTGGATCATTGATGCATAGATATTATTTAATGGCTGCCTATATTATTTTTGGATGTCAGTTTACCAGTTACTAATTTCCATCATTTTTACAAAATGTTTATTAGATTAAGTTTAGTGTAATACAACATTTGTCATTTTACTCTAAGTTATAGAATTCTATTGAACCTATGCATGTTATGAATTGATCAACTGTCAACTGATCTTAAGCTTTGATCTAGATTGAAAATGACTGTATGAAAATGTAAAGTAACAAACATTAAACTTCAGTACTTGTTGTCAAATTTTAAACATTTTATAGTTGTAGAATATGAAAAATACTTTATCTATAACAATGATAGGTCAGTTGAATTTTTATATTGATATTAGTGTAGAATCACATTGTAAATTATCACCAATCCTTAAAATTGCCTTAAAGATGCAGCAAAATCAAAGAATATTCAATGGTAGCTAGGCAACTAATATTCCCTTCAGTTGGGAAGGATTTTAAATAGGTGCATCATAATAAAAATACTTTATATGTTTGATCACATTGTAAATAATTGAAAAATAATCATCACTATTAAAGTTATAAAAAATTAAAATATAAAACCTTAAATGTACCTGAAAATAAATGTTGTGAACATGATATTAGAAGTATCATTTTTAATTTATATTATTAAGGAATGGTGAGGCAGGCTGTTCTCTGAATACCTTATTAAGTTCAGTTACACATTAATTGTGGTATTGTTTTCATTTTTTTTATAATAGCACAAATTGCTATTTTTAACTAAGTTGTAATCTCCTGTATGCCTGTAAAAATTTGGAAATTTAGAAATTTATGAAAAAAATAATAATTATTCATTGGTTGCTAAGGAACCTAATTATATGCAGAGACAGTTTTAAGTAAGAAACATGTTTTTGTAGGAATTATCTTTATGTCATTTTAATTAAATATAATGCTAGTTAATTCAAAGTCCTTACTTTATTGTGAAACAAAGTAGTTAACACCAGATGTTACTGAACATACTTTTATGAAATTATGTATATTATCTATATAAATTCAAAACCTATAGTAAAGTGAGTTTAAGGATACTTTGATCCAAGAACTATTATTAAGATTGTATTTGCAGTTTTAATAGTTGTAATTTGTTTTTTGTAATCATGCTGCTTTGTTCATAGTATTTTGAGATCTTTTTTAATCAAACTTAAAATTTGTAAAATTTAAAAGGAAATTATGGAAGATATTGTGGTTGCTTGGCAACACTGACTAATTTTTTACTTATTGCTTAGGTATTATGCAAATCAGTTATACGTACAGCAGATAGATATATTTATGTAATATGGAAAGTCACAGTGATTTGATCAAATGTTTATTGGTTATTGTAAAACATACAGAGCAATATACATGGCAAAAATACTGCTGTTCTGCTAATTATGCAAATTTGCATGACTTACTAACACTAGTCAAGTGTACAGAACATGGATTGTATGTTATATCTGCAATGGAAAATTATTGAGAAGTAATTAATAGGCATTGTTTATAATTTTATTGAAAATTTATTTATTTCTGCTGTTTTGTTAGCTGTTTTTTACCAAGAAATGTGTATATTTACAAAATAGATTACAAAAATTTAGAATATTCCATGGTTGCTAGGTAACAGAATATAGCTTCCTTCATGTTGTATTTGTGTAATTATGCCCTTTATTTAGTGTTACTACCTTTGATGATGTTATACTTGAGTCATCTTTCATTTACTGTTGTATTAAACTGTTGTCTGCTGTCAGAGTAAATATCTGAATAAAGTTAATAAATGAATGATAAATGGACACTGTGTTTAGTTCTTTTGAAGTTGTATTATGATATCTCTCAACAGAAATATGTCCTGTTAACACTGTAGAAATGCAATAGAACCATTTGCAAATGTGAAAGAAGAATATATTTCATATTGATACTTGCAAGTGTTATAAAATAAACCTAGCACATAATTTTTTACACGAAAAAGGCCAGAAAGAACCCAGGAATATGTCTGTTGCTAGGCAACATAATGTAAATGATGCTTTAATTATGGTGGCTGTATTCCAAAAATATTCTACAACATTTTTATGCTCCCCGAAAAAATTTCGGGGGAGCATATAGTCGCCGCCTTGTCCGTCCGTCCGTCCGGCCGTCCGTCCGTCCGTCCGTCCGTCCGTCCGTCCGTCCCCTTTTCTTGTCCGGGACATAACTTTGAAACAACAAGAGGTATCAACATGAAACTTTGTAGGTAGATAGATCTCATTGAGTAGGTGTGCAGTGCACAAGAACCGTAACTCTGACTTGCCTAATTTTTGAATTATTCCCCTTTGTTTATTTTTACACTTTGAACTTTGTCCGGGACATAACTCTAAAGTATAAGAGGTATCAACATGAAACTTTGTAGGTGGATAGATCTCATTGAGTAGAAGTGCAGTGCACAAGAACCGTAACTCTGCCTTGCCTAATTTTTTGAATTATCCCCCTTTGTTTATTTTACACTTTGAACTTTGTCCGGGACATAACTCAAAAGAATAAGAGGTATCAACATGAAACTTTGTAGGTAGATAGATCTCATTGAGTAGGTGTGCAGTGCACAAGAACCGTAACTCTGCCTTGCCTAATTTTTGAATTACCCCCCTTTGTTTATTTTACACTTTGAAATTTGTCCGGGGCATAACTCTAAAAGTATAAGAGGTATCAACATGAAACTTTGTAGGTAGATAGATCTCATTGAGTAGAAGTGCAGTGCACAAGAACCGTAACTCTGCCTTGCCTAATTTTTGAATTATCCCCCTTTGTTTATTTTACACTTTGAACTTTGTCCAGGACATAACTCTAAAAGTATAAGAGGTATCAACACTAAACTTTGTAGGTAGATAGATCTCATTGAGTAGGTGTGCAGTGCACAAGAACTGTAACTCTGCCTTGCCTAATTTTTTAATTATCCCCTTTGTTTATTTTACACTTTGAAATTTGTCCGGGACATAACTCTAAAAGTATAAGAGGTATCAACATGAAACTTTGTAGGTAGATAGTTCTCATTGAGTAGGTATGCAGTGCACAAGAACCGTAACTCTGCCTTGTCTAATTTTTGAATTATCCCCTTTGTTTATTTTACACTTTGAACTTTGTCCGGGACATAACTCTAAAAGTATAAGAGGTATCAACATGAAACTTTGTAGGTATATAGATCTCATTGAGTAGGTGTGCAGTGAACAAGAACCTTAACTCTGCCTTGCCTAATTTTTGAATTATCCCCCTTTGTTTATTTTTTACACTTTGAACTTTGTCCGGGACATATTTCTTAATGTATAAGAGATATCAACATGAAACTTTGTAGGTAGATAGATCTCATTGAGTAAGTTTGCAGTGCACAAGAACTGTAACACTGTCTTGCCTTCTTTTGTAGTTATTGCCCTTTGTTCATTTTGACACTTTGAACTTTGTCTGGGACATTATTCTAAAATTATAAGAGATATCAACATGAAACTTTGTAGATAGATAGGTCTCATTGGGTGGAAGTGCAGTGCTTAAGAATCATTACTCTGCCTTGCCTTATTTTGAAGTAATTGCCCTTATTTTATTTTTACTTTTTGACTTTTGTCCTGGACATTACTTTAAAACTATTAGAGATATCAACATGAAACTTTGTAGGTAGCTAGATATAATTGGATAGAACTGCAACGCTTCAAGAACCTAAACAAAGCCTGGTGTAATTTTGGAGTTATTGCCCTTTGTTCATTTTTTTATACTTTCCTGTGTCCAGAACCTTCTCGGGGAGCATCACCCGGTTCAACCGGTTCTTGTTTAACTTTAATAACATAAAACAATTTTTTCACAAAATTCATTTTAGCTTCAAAAGTTGTTTTCCTCATGCACCTTTAAACATCACAAAAATCAATGATGTTTATGTGTATTTTTAATTACTTACTTGACACCATACTCACAAAATTATGTATATCTTTGTAAATAAGAAAGACACGACCTTCAAATTTTCAGGAATTACTTCTGATATTTCATAGATTTAGAAAATTAAAAAAAGTGAAAATCAAAAATTTGGTCAAGAAACCCCATTTTTGCATTCCATGACACATATACGGTTTTGTTTGTGAAATTGTTGTTGTGCATTTGACCAACCAATGAATAAAAAATCTGGATCTGGAAAGGTCTTAATTTTGACCATTGTAGGTGAATAGTTGTGTACAAAGACTTAATTTCACGTTCTCCTAATATAAATGTGTAGACAAGAATGCATATAACTTCTAAATAATGAAATGCAGTAAGTTAACAGAAATTGTTGTTTCTGCACATGGAACCACTTGTGTTTAAAATAATTAACAGAAGTGATTGTGTTTGGCTACTGTGTAATGAATTCTGCTGAAGCCTGTACCAATACTTACCTGTTTATCTAAAATGTACTGCCAATTTGCCTATAAATGTAAGAGCAGTGGAAGAAAAATAGTTTAAAATTCTATTTTCTTTCATCACTTATCAACACGAGTGAATATATGTACTGTACCTTGAACCTGTTGCCATCCATATGGAGCTAATACTTAAGGCAATCTGTCCATTGTTAAGTGACTTGGTATCATGAGGTCTGAATATGGCAAATTTAACATTATTTTTCAGACTGATTCATCAACGGGTGCTTCTAGACTTGACTCCCATGCGCAACATTTTCAAGACCCTGTTTCCATGGCAACCTCAAAATCAGTGACCCCTTATTGTATAGCATTGTATGATTACCCAGCACAATCTATGGATGACTTAGAGTTTAATGAAGGGGACAATATTGAAATTATTGAAAGAGTAAGTGCCGATTGGTTAAAAGGAAAAATTGGCGGGAAAACTGGAATGTTTCCATCTGCTTTTGTTGATGTCAAAGTTGATATTACTGAAACAGGTAGTTTTTTTATTGTTACGTATGAATCATGTAATTAAAAAGATGTTCATGTATTAAGAAAAATAACAAGGACCTTTATACTGACAATTTAAGTATTTATGCCTTTTTGGTCACTTATTTCATTTTTACAAATGGGAAATTTATTTTCAAATATCTTCTTTAACATCTGTAAAACACTTCAATGGCCATCTTTTATTAGCTCACCTGTCACAAAGTGACAGGGTGAGCTTTTGTGATCGCTTTTCGTCTGGCGTCCGTCCGTCCGGCGTCCGTCCGTCTGTCGTCCGTCTGTAAACTTTTACTTTAAATGACATCTACTCATAAACCACTAAGCCAATTTCATCCAAACTTCACAGGAATGTTCCTTTGGTGGTCACCTTTAAAAATTTTTCAAAGAATTTAATTCCATGCAGAACTCTGGTTGCCATGGCAACCGAAAGAAAAC